CTCCCTGTAGATTTTCAAAATCAGCTGTTCAAGCAATGCAGTAGGCTCATATAGGTGGAAAAATATTTTTTTCCTGATTGCCCTAAAAATCCAAAAAAATCATATACACTATTTCAGACCCATTAAGAAAGAATTTGATGTCACATTTGATAGATAACTCTCCCTGTAGATTTTGAAAAATCAGCTGTTCAAGCAATGCAGTAGGCTCATATAGGTGAAAAAATATTTTTTTCCTGATTGTCCTAAATATCCCAAATAATTCATAGACACTAATTCAGACCCATAAAGGAAGAATTTGATGTCAGATTTGATAGATAACTCTCCCTGTAGATTTTCAAAATCAGCTGTTCAAGCAATGCAGTAGGCTCATATAGGTGAAAAAATATTTTTTCCTGATTGCCCTAAAAATCCCAAATAATTCATAGACACTAATTCAGACCCATTAAGAAAGAATTTGATGTCAGACTTGATAGATAACTCTCCCTGTAGATTTTCGAAATCAGCTGTTCAAGCAATGCAGTAGGCTCATATAGGTGGAAAAATATTTTTTTCCTGATTGCCCTAAAAATCCTAAAAAATTCATAGACACTATTTCAGACCCATAAAGATAGAATTTGATGTCAGATTTGATAGATAACTCTCCTTGTAGATTTTCAAAATCAGCTGTTCAAGCAATGCAGTAGGCTCATATAGGTGGAACCGAGGGCGGAAAAATATTTTTTTTTCTGACTGCCCTAAAAATCCCAAATAATTCATAGACACTTTTTCAGACCTATGAAGGAAGAATTCGATCTCAGATTTCGTAGAGAACTCTCTCTTTGGATTTTCAAAATCAGCGGTTCAAGCAATGCAGTAAGCTCATAAATGTCGAAAAATATTTTTTTCCTGATTGTTCGAAAAATTCCAAAATATTCATAGACACTAATTCAGACCCATATGATATTGAATTCCGTGAAATCCGAAATTTGTTACAAGAATTCACAAATAACTTCCGTTGTTTCCCGACATTCTTCAATCACCTAATGAATTTGAATAATTCATAATTTCAATTCTGTTCGCATTCTCTCAACTTTTTGGGTCATTCTAATTTCGAAAAATTCGAAATTTTACTGTGAATCCATTTTTTCATTCTTCTGAAATATCATGAAAAACCCAACTTATATTTTCAAAAATATTTGTCAAAGTTCTCAGGTTCAACCAATCTTAATAAAAAATATTCCAAATTGATTATATTGTTTTGAAAGCAACAACTCATTTGTGTAAAATATATTGCCCTCCAGACCATTGAGATGCGATCAAAGATCCTTAACAGGGCACATTTCGCTATTCAATATTTAGTAAATACGAAATCCCGAAATGCTTTGTCCTATAACACATGTAATTTTCACAAAATTGCGAATAATTTTACAACTGGTTGAATTGTTTCTATTCAGTCCCTCTGTATGAACATACAAACGAAATAATGATTGAACACTCACCATCTTCCAGCAAGTTAGCAGAACAATAGAACTCAATCACACACACATATATCATGCACTTTAATCACTCAACTGAACTGAACATTTCGATTTGTCACGTATATGAATAATGCAAATTTTATTTTTTCAAATCCCTCAGATAGACCGAACGCGATGAAATCCAATACAATACTGAATAGCCACCGGTGCCTGATGCTTGATTCATCACCTAAATGACTCATCAGTAACGTCATCATTCTAACTGATTATTTTCCGAACAAGAATTTTATCTCTGTGACTAATGCCATCTGAAATAATGTATGTAGGGGGTTGAAGAAGACATTCTATATACAGTGTCACCATTAAAATATGTACCATGAAATTTTCTATTATCCACGCAAATTTGGTGTTCATGAAATGTTTTCAAATTCGAAATTTGTTGAGAAAAACAACAAAAAATCGGGTTGTTGCCCAAAGTGTTCTATCCACTTAACGAATTCAAACAATTTCGATTTTATAAGCATTTTCTCAACTTTTTGAGCCATCTCAATTTCAAGAAATTCGAAAAGATCAGTCGAAAGGTGGAATACTCATCATCTGAAAGAATCACGATAATACACTACACTGTTTTACTACTAACCAAATTCCAAATAATTCATAGACACTAATTCAGAACCATAAAGAGATAGAATTTGATATCAGATTTGATAGATTTCCAAAATCAGCGGCTCAGGCAATGCAGTATAGGCTCATATATAAGTCGAATAATATTTTTTCCCTGATTGCCCTGGAAATTAAAAAAAAAAAATCGTAGACCCTAATTCAGACCCATTGAGGAAGAATTTGATATCAGATTTGATAGATAACTCTCCCTGTAGATTTTCAAAATCAGCTGATCGAGCAATGCAGTTGGCTCATATAGGTAGAAAAATATTTTTTTCCTGATTGCCCTAAGAATCCCAAAATATTCATAATCACTAATTCAGACCCATAAAGGAAGAATTTGATGTCAGATTTGGTAGATAACTCTCCCTTTAGATTTTTATAATCAGCGGTTCGAGCAATAATGCAGTAGGCTCATATGTAGAAAAATATTTTTTTCCTGATCGCCCTAAAAATCCCAAAAAATTCATAGACACTAATTCAGACTCATAACGGAAGAATTTGATGTCAGATTTGATAGATAACTCTCCCTTTAGATTTTCATAATCAGTGGTTCGAGCAATGCAGTAGGCTCATATAGGTGGAAAAATATTTTTTTCCTGATTGCCCTAAGAATCCCAAAAAATTCATGGACACTAATTCAGACCCATAGAGAAAGAATTTGATGTCAGATTTGATAGATAGTTCTCCCTGTAGATTTTCAAAATCAGCTGTTCAAGCAATGCAGAAGGCTCATATAGATAGAAAAATATTTTTTTCCTGATTGCCCTAAAAATCCCAAAAAATTCATAAACACTTATTCAGACCCATAAACGAAGAATTTGATGTCAGATTTGATAGATAACTCTCCCTTTAGATTTTCATAATCAGCGGTTCGAGCACTGCAGTAGGCTCATGTAGGTGGAAAAATATTTTTTCCTGATCGCCCCAAGAATCCCAAAAGATTCATAAACACTAATTCAGACCCATAAAGAAGGAATTTGATGTCAGATTTGATAGATAACTCTCCCTGTAGATTTTCAAAATCAGCTGTTCAAGCAATGCAGTAGGCTCATACAGGTGAAAAAATATTTTTTTCCTGATTGCCCTAAAAATCCCAAAAAGTTCATTAACACTAATTCAGACCCATAAAGGAAGAATTTGATGTCAGATTTGATAGATTACTCTCCCTGTAGATTTTCAAAATCAGCTGTTCAAGCAATGCAGTTGGCTCATATAGGTGGAAAAATATTTTTTTCCTGATTGCCCTAAGAATCCCAAAAAATTCATAGACACTAATTCAGACCCATAAAGAAAGAATTTGATGTCAGATTTGATAGATAACTCTCCCTGTAGATTTTCAAAATCAGCGGTTCGAGCAATGCAGTAGTAGGCTCATATAGGTGGAAAAATATTTTTTTCCTGATTGCCCTAAAAATCCCAAAAAGTTCATTAACACTAATTCAGACCCATAAAGGAAGAATTTGATGTCAGATTTGATAGATAACTCTCCGTTTAGATTTTCAAAATCAGCGGTTCAAGCAATGCAGTAGGCTCATATAGGTGGAAAAATATTTTTTTCCTGATTGCCCTAAGGAGCCCAAAAAATTCATAAACACTAATTCAGACCCATTAAGAAAGAATTTGATGTCAGATTCGATAGAGAACTCTCCCTGTAGATTTTCAAAATCAGCGGTTCGAGCAATGCAGTAGTAGGCTCATATAGGTGGAAAAATATTTTTTTCCTGATTGCTCTAAAAATCCCAAAAAGTTCATTAACACTAATTCAGACCCATAAAGGAAGAATTTGATGTCAGATTTGATAGATTACTCTCCCTGTAGATTTTCAAAATCAGCTGTTCAAGCAATGCAGTTGGCTCATATAGGTGGAAAAATATTTTTTTCCTGATTGCTCTAAGAAGCCCAAAAAGTTCATAAACACTAATTCAGACCCATAAAGAAAGAATTTGATGTCAGATTCGATAGAGAACTCTCCCTTTAGATTTTCGAAATCAGCGGTTCGAGCAATGCAGTATAGGCTCATATGGGGGGAAAAATATTTTTTTTCCTAATTGCCCTATGAATCCCAAAAAAATCATAAACACTAATTCAGACCCATAAAGGAAGAATTTGATGTCAGATTTGATAGATAACTCTCCCTGTAATTTTTCAAAATCAGCTGTTCAAGCAATGCAGTAGGCTTATATAGGTGGAAAAATATTTTTTTCCTGATTGCCCCAAGAATCCCAAAAAATTCATAGACACTAATTCAGACCCATAAAGAAAGAATTTGATGTCAGATTTGATAGATAACTCTCCCTGTAGATTTTCAAAATCAGCGGTTCGAGCAATGCAGCAGTAGGCTCATATAGGTGGAAAAATATTTTATTCCTGATTGCCCTAAAAATCCCAAAAAGTTCATTAACACTAATTCAGACCCATGAAGGAAGAATTTGATGTCAGATTTGATAGATAACTCTCCCTGTAGATTTTCAAAATCAGCGTTTCGAGCAATGCAGTAGCGGCTCATATAGGTGGAAAAATATTTTTTCCTGATTGTACTCAAAATCCGAAAATATTCATAGACACTAATTCAGACCCATATAGGAAGTATTTGATATCAGATTTGAGAGAGATCCCTGCCTTCAGATTTTCAAATTTAGCGGTTCACCAAGCAATAGGCTCATGCAGTTACTACGCTGAGATGACACCACAACTTTGTGACAACCTTCGTGAATCGCTTCACACCGACTCTCCCCGTATACCGTAACTTCCGGCCGCTACAGAGTAGAAGTAGAAGCATAAAGAAGGATTAAATTTAGAAGTCGGAAAACGTCGGAGCGCAAGTGCCGCTCTCAGTCCGCACCGAACCGCGTTTTTGCCTAGGCAACAAGGCAACCAGTACTCAAAAACACGGCGACTGGCCGGTGTTTTCTTTCGCACACTTTTCCGATATATACCTTGCACAGTGACGCGCGATTTTCGTGTGGAAAACATGGCGGAAACCATCGAGGAGAGTTACGAGACCGAGGTCAGGCGGAAAATCGTCAGGACGAAGCTCAACATCGAGGAAGTAAGTGGGAAATTGTTTGTGATGTAATCGCCATGGCCGGATTGGCTTGGATCGCCTATGCGACGTTTGAACTACCCACTCGGTTAGTTCGAATGTCCCGCGACCGACCTAACGAACTACTCTTGCAACCCCTGAAAATCGTTGGCTGATTGGTCGAACGATTCGCCCACCATGTGACCGTGGTTGGATTGTTTCGATGGTCGAACATCCTCAGAATAGCTGATGTGAGATACTCTCACGCTTCCAAGCTCAACAAACCGTAATCATTGGCAGATTGCTATGATTTCTGAGAAGTGACATTTGAACTACCCACTCGGTTAGTTTGAATGTCCCGCGATCGACCGAACGAACTACTCTTGCAACCCCTGGAAATCGTTGGCTGATTGGTCGAACGAGAATGAGCCACTCCTGTGGCAGAACAAAGCGGGCACTCGCCCGATAATCAGAAATCAGCCTGTATAATCCCGAACTAGCTCCCAACCCCATCCTTATTCCCTCCCCAACCCACAGTATGTCATTACCGCAGACGAACTTATGTTGGTTTTTTGTTCTTTAGTTTTTCCAACAAATAAAAACGTCAAATTAGAGAGTTCAAGGAAACATCCGACGTAAAACCCTGCTCGCCCTGAGCAACTCACCGATAGGAACCGAATTAAGGACTTCTATCCTAGTAGTTGGTTCGCTAATGATTGCCATCAGATCGTATAATAAAAATCTTCGGGCCTGCATCGGCCACCTCTGAGGACTCCCTTGGAGTTCAAACATGTGATAGTTTCACTTATATAGGTGTTATATGTTTCACTGGTCACCGTATTTCATGTTCAGATTTTTTATTTATACAACCGTCATCTTATATATGTTTAAGTGAATGAATGAAATTTCAAAGGTCGAACGATTGGCCCACCATGTGACCGTGGTTGGATTGTTTCGATGGTCGAACACTCTCAGAAAAGCTGATGTGAGCTTCTTCTCTTCCAAAGCTCAACAAACCGTAATCATTGGCTGATTGCTATGATTCCTGAGAAGTGACATTTGAACTACCTACTTGCTTAGTTCGAATGTCACGAGACCGGCTATCAGAACTACTCTTGCGACCCCTATAAATCCGCGTCAGGATAACTGTATGAGCTTCTTTTACGCCTCCAAGACTCAAGACGTAATCATTGGCTGATTGGTATTATTTCTAAGACGTGACGTTTGAACTACCTACGTCTAGTTGGAATTTACTAATCATCGACCACTTTTGACGTAACTAAACGAACTATTTTCACAGCCCTGAAACTAATCCATGCTGAACGTAATGATTTTACACCACTAAAGGGTCAGTTTTTCAATCGCTTGTTAAATATCAAATTCTCTATGAGATATGGCTCAAAATCTAATTGAACTGTTAATTATTTTTTCGAGTTCACTGTGATTGACAGCTAAATCATCTGCTAATCAGCTGTGAATATGAGATGAGAGTAAAATGTACCTACCCATAGCTATACAGGGTGTTCCTTAAAGACATGCTAATATTCGAGGGGAAATTCTTCGACTCATTTTGAGAAGAAAATTTCATATGAACGTATGTCCTAAAAGTCTAGACCTTTGTATACATTTCCATGACATTTGGTACGTCTTTTTTCCAAGTTGCATTTTTTTAATGTACAATAATTTTCATTTTCTCTACCAGTGGCACTGTTTCGGGCACATTATTGTTTATATTTCACCTAAAAGTGAACAACGACCGAAAATTTTCAAATTTTATACAATGTCATCAAAGGCTAGTCAATTAGGTACAAAAAAGATTCTCTTGTTGATACTCGATAGGACGTTTCGTTTTCGAGAAAAAACGGAAAAACGAGACCAGACTTCAAATTTTGATGTCTGAGTACTCCATTCATGTAACATTTTGAAATCTGTATACTGATTGAGTCACATAGCAGAATGAATTTTGCTATCACGAAAAGCTATACAGGGTGGACAAAAAAAAATCTTTGCATATTTTCAACATTGACATCCTGTATCTAAAAAATTAGGACGTTTACGACATACGATCATATGAAGTTTTATTCTTGAAATGGGTCGAAGAATCAGCCTCTCGAATATTAGCATATTAAGGAACACCCTGTATAATCAAGAGATTTACTAAATCAAAGGTAGTTGAGTATGAATATGTGAACAAATTTGCTAACTAAAACGTTTTCAATAAATTATATGGAAGAAAACCAAAATCTGCCATTTCCTTTCTTTTAGGAAACAGGTAAGCAATGTTGAAATTTAGTACCTGTCAGATTTTATATCAAGCGAAAATCCAATATGATCGATATGAGAAAAAATGCAGGTATACAGGTTGCAATACATGAAAAATGATACATCCTGTATGAAATTTCTTATAATCCCATCGCATTCTCTGAGTATCAAGAAATATCCTAAATTTCTAATAGCGGAGAAGGTAACAAAAAAAATATATTATTTTCTAATTTTACCAACTCTGTATATTGAAAAAATTAAGAACTGAGATTGTAAAAATTATGATCGAGAACATAGTATTTATTCTGTTTGAATCTTGGTTGTGTTTACAAATAGAGAAAATACTCTTCACAATAATTAATAGTAAATCTAATTATGTATGGATATCAGGAAGTCACATTCTCGCAAAAAACATTTCCTGGATTATACAGCAAGTCATGATAAATAATTTTTGGCACTAGTTACAATAAATACGTATGAATTAAATAGCACTGCGTTTTATTTAGCACAATTTGAATAAACTTGACAAAATTTCTTCCGTGATGAACGATAGCCATTAATATTCTTGCTCTGATTCTTTCTCTTAATAAATTTCATATCAATGATGTAAGTACAGCTAAGAAAACATTCCTCTAACGGGAAAAAGCAAAACATGTGTACTCATACAGGGTGTTCGATGAATAATAATTTCAATTTCAGGGGACGAATCCACATTATACAGGGTGTCCCATTGGGAAACTGAAAAACTTCAACGGTGGATAAACCTCATCCAGGCGGTTTTGAATCTACCATATTTGTATATATATATCCGAGATACAGGGCGTTTTATCAATTCTTTGAGACGACATAACTTACGAACCATGCACGTAGTATATTCTTCTACCTAAGCGACTCACTTATCAATCACAATAAAAATCCAGGTCCGGATTTTTTTTGGAGGCCAGAAATATGATCAATTTCAGTAAAACACGAAGAAATTGTGTACCAAATTGCAAAAGAATATACTAGGTGGTTCGTAAGCTATGTCCTCACAAAGAATTGAGCAAAATCTCGGATATAAAACTTGAGAGATCCTACAAATATTCAGAACCACCTTGATGAGCTCTACCCACTTCCCGTTTCCCAATGGGGCAGCCTGTACATATTTTTTTAATTTCACATTGCTTAGCTTCTGGGATGGAAGAGTTGTTGGAAACAATTTTTATTCTCTCCTTGTATCAACCTAGATGATGGTAAAATTCAGTATGTTTGCTGTCTCACAGAATCTGGAAAATTTCAGAATAATAACTCATTATTTCGCTCATTATTAATGATAAGAGGCGACCTTTGAAAGAAAATCTCGAAATAATTCTAAATAGTTTCTATAGCTTTAGCGATCTAACGCAACGAAAATTCTGTTAAAACCAAACTAAATTTATTCTAGTTTTCACGTGGAAACAATAATTTCTACATCTCGTTTTGTGATGTGTTGACGTTGAGTTTAAAATAAAACCACTCATTGAACAGAAACCTACTAGAACGTACCTATATGACTGACTGGCAGCGTGGAAATTTTGCTTTGAGATTCATGGATTATGCAATATATCCAATCATTTTTCATGTTTGGTTTCTTGTCAATTTCGTTTTCTGTGATTATTTCGAAAATTGCGAGCAATGGAGGTTTTGAGAGATTGCCAATTTACTTTGGAGACGGATTGACAAATATTTGGTGTATAATGTTTTGAAGCCTACTATTTGAATTCTTTGCTATTGAAAGGATTCTTTGTTGATCACCTTGGTATTTTTGGGATAGCTACGCACACGTTATTTTGGAAGAAAATAATCAGAAATACAATGTATAATATACAGTGTGTCCAAGATAAGGATGTCTATCATGATGGGAATTTCGGAAACCATTTAAGATTTTCAAGCCTAACAATATACCGTTCAGAAAGTTTCAAAATTCCGAGTAGTTCCGGAGGTATGCCGAAAAAACTCAAATTTGTCTTATTTTTTTCTATTTTCAATTTTATTCAAAGAGATATACAAAAACAAGAGACACTTTCTAATTGTTATTTTTCGAGCTCTGTAAAACAGCGTTCGTAGATTTTATACAGGGTATACTTTTTTATGGGCCATATAAAAATATAAAGTTGATGATTTTATCCGTAGCGAAACGTCGTACGCAAAATATTTAAACTCTGTTTTGTAGAGTTTGAGAAATGACAACGTGGAAGTGTCTTGTTTTTCTATATCTCTTTAAGTAACGTCAGAAAACATAAAAACTTTAGGTTTTTAGGCACTTATTTGCAAAGATAGAGATTTGAGGTTTTCACGAACGTTATTGGCTACTTTTTAATTAATCTCACCATACCGCAAAAGACATTTCCATAACTCGCTTCTTTTTTGAGATACAGAGCGAAATTGAAAATGTTACATTTTGGGACCCCCCTTGTATCTCATTTATTTTTCAACTTTTCGAAAAAGTAAAAACTACCATTTACAAATTTTTCACGTAGACTCCAGTGGCGTAGTTAGATTTTCGAAATAAACTATAGTTATGCAGATATGCAAAACTATGATTTTTTAAACGGAACGCACTGTATATTTTTCCAAACTTGAAACAATGATACTTTTCGCTTTCTTATAAGGTCCACAGCTTTCATAGTCAATAAATAGTGCTGAATATTGGTAAATGTTGAATTTTGATAAAATTAGAACTAGTCTGTGACGAAACACTGTATCAGCAACAAGATAAATATGAAAATTCGTGATATGGACAATGT